TTGCAGGACACTGCAGCTATTATGCCACTCACAGTCACCCAGCATCCAGCTCTCACTTGAGGAGCCCAGCATCTCACACAAGGGGCCCCAAATAAACCCCAATGCGCCTCTTCGCTCTTACCTTTTGCCTCACCGAGGCCCTGATGTGGCAACACAGAGACAATGGTGTAGTTTCAGATTTAATGTTGAGGACTAAACAGTCATGGAAGGGAGCAGTAGTTGTTGTTATAAGTGGAAGTGGAAGGACTTGGAAGGTGGGGTTTGATTATTAAAATGCAGACACTGACAGTCACCTTGAACTTGAATCCCCCAGAGGTCCCCTTGACCTTTGCTCTTTTCCCGTGCTCTTCTCTGCCCCCAGCAGTGGTGGTGGCCTTTGTTTGGCTGTCGGCATTAACTCTTCGCGCCTCTCTCTCACAACCTCCTCCTCACTTTTCCGTCATTTTCTTCTCTGTCTTTCTCGGAGGGGGGGCATGCATCTTCCTCCTCTCCTTCTTCTTCTATAGTCACTTCCCCCTCTGTGTGCCTAAATTTTGAGGTACACCCATCTGGTCTGTGGCGAACGCCCCGGTGGGGAATTTTGTTTTCCCAGAATACTAATCTGACCCAAGGGGATTTCATTCCCACATTCTGGAATTCATGCTTTATCCATCCTTATTCTTTTGTTTTTAGGAGCATAGACTCTGCTGGGTTTATTCTATTTGGAAAAACTGAGGAGTTAAATTACTTGTGTTTGTATCAAAAATCTGATGTATTTTTGAAGTTTGATTTTTGTTTTTTCAAGAATCAAGGAGAATTTTTTACCTTCCAACTTTTGACTATGAAATATGTTTAAATGTTCACCCAGCTCCATGTATTGCATCTCTCTGTTATTTGACTTTGCTGAAGTACAAAACCAACTTCCAGATCCAACTTTCTTGGTTGCCACTGTTTACAAAGTTTTTCCATTCTGCAACTCTTGTTTCCTGAAGTTCTGCTCTGATTGTGTTTTGCATCTCTGCTTTTTGTCCTTTTTTTTTTTTTTTTACATTTTTTAAATATTTGTCACCAGTATTAAGACCTGTCACAGATCAAATACTGATGCTGCTTTCAAAGGACATGCAACATATTTGTGATTTTGTCAAAACACACCAGTGCAATGATTAGCAACCCGTGAGCATGTGAGGGGGTGTTGGGTCAGCAGAGTGATTTAATCTGCTAATTTTTCTCAGGTCTTTTGGCTTTTGACAGGCAAGTGTAATGGTCCTTCAAGTAATGGAATCAGCCACTCAAGCAGCACATGCACACACACAAGTACACAATCTTGCACACACATTCACCAACTAAAAGCACGGCTTTTTTTGCATATGAATGACATCACCGTAAAGTTTTTTGCAGAGGTGAAAGAGAAAACATTAGTCAAAGAGAAACATTAGTCAAATCACTTCCCGCTTCAGTCGCCCTCCTCAGCCAAACTACTTGACATTCCACAACAGAGCTCTCCTGCCGCCAAGAAAAGCATCCTTGGTGATCCAGACATCCAAATCATCACGCCGAAGCTGCAAGTTTTACAAACCTCTCCTGCTCAGGCAGGAGAGGTTCATTATCTGAACACATAAGAGCCAAGAAAGGGCTTTAGGCTTACAAACATTTAAAGCTCTGGGCTTTAAGTGAAGCAGTAAACTACCTGCAGCAAGGGCTAAACTTAAAGGAGTGTTTCCAATTGTCTGAGGTGAAAGTGTAGTTTGTTTTTTTATTTGTTTCTTTTGTGCTAATCTAAATATAAATGAGGCAAATGAGGTTATTTAGTGTATTAGATGATGTTACTGAGTAAGAATCAGCCTTATTTGCCAGGTTTATGCATACAAACAAGGAATTTGATTTCAGTTTCATTTTACAGATACATGTATAAAAAGGGAAATATAATAGTTTCTCTTTGAATTGGGTTGTTTTGTGGCTTCCTGAATGAGTGCTCAGTGTGTTCTCAGAGACATTTTAACAAGTTTGACTTTCCTGTTCTTTGTTTTCTCCAGGTGTAGATAATGTCACTTGGAGTCAAAGGCTTTAAAGCTTTTGGTTTTTAGTTTTTGGTTTCCAAACTGATAAATGCTAATATCTCAATTTTTCGTCTGCTCTTGGATTTCTTCAGGTTAATTGCATGATGTGTTTCTTTTTAGGACATTTATTCCTACATCATGTTGTTGTCATTCTGCAAGTCTGTCAGTGTTAAGATCTGACTGAGAGTTGCAAAATTTTATTCCACTTTCCAAAAACCACAATGCATCATAATGATTGCATTGTGATGCATTCATTTTTGACAGTTTATATTTTTGTGATGAGTTCTTCCCCTGGTTGAGAGGCCATCACCCTAATTTTTTAGTTCCATTTACAGATTTACTGTTCCATTCCCATAGAATGATGCTGCCATCATTATGTGCTGCTACAGAGCAAACATTTGAGATAATTTGACCACAACGGATGCTCTTGCGGCTCCATGTTATCTTGCCCTCACATCCCTTTCTATTTAATGTTTGTTTTTATGATTATAAACATGTGTAGTTGTTTACAACTACAGGTATGCTCACTGTACGTGTTTAACTGGAAGCACAGAGGTGTTGCTATGGCATCAGAAAATGTGATGGATGCTGACTGGGTGGTGTATATTTACACTATTCCTCACTACTCCCAAAAATCTCAGTGCAACATTTTGGCATATTATAAACAAAACCAAGTAGTGAACAATTAAGAAAATGTATTTTCTTACAGTTAACTATATAAAGCTCTGTTTATGACTCATCATAGGTGTAATTTTTTGATGTACATGAAGCTGAAATGTTTCAAATAAGCTCAGGTTTTTGAGCATTCAAACATAAGTTCACCTCAGAATGTTAATGGGATTTTAGCACAAATAATGTGTTAATACAGCCGATACTGCATTGATCATACCTTTACAAAAAGTCATAAAATAACAGTCTAATTTTCTGCTAAGTAGCATTTCCCTCTGCTATTGCAAAAATGACATTTCAGAAAAAATATGACAATATAACTGCAACAGACGAGCTAAGAGCTGCCAAATGAACACTTGTGTTATATATTTTATATTTATTATAAATGAAACATTTGGCAGTATAACATGCTTTGAAAATAATCTGAGACAGTTTGTCTTAGCTAGACGAGCAGAATGACCAGTCTGGAACACCAGGAGGCGGTTCACAGAGGTAGAAGTATCTCTGTAGAGATGCCCACTTTTGTCAATCGCCGGCAGTTCAGTTGTCTGATTGAGTGGGAGACATGTTCTGTGTCTTAGCTACTGGCAGCAAACACATTTCCCTCCTAAATCACACAGAACAGCCTCCTAAGGGCACATTCCTGCATACCAATGATGATTGTTGGGATGTTGTGAAAAGAGCAGCACTCGAGTTCCTAGACCTTGGACAAGCACCAGAACCCGCCATTTCCCACTTCAGACACCCCCCTGCCACCCAGCCTTGTGTGTTCGCTCACCGAAGCAGTTATTAACATCACTCATCTTGGAAGCCGGATCTTTAGTATAATGATTTAATGTCACAGGCGGCCATTTTATGGTTCATGTCAAAAACAAGACACACCCCATGACTCTTTGAGGGCAGCTTTCTAAAAGCAGGATTTACAGATTGAAGGATGCCACCAACCGGAAGCTGAAGGAGGCTTTGGTATTTACCCAGAGTCTTAGACAGTTGCGTTGTGATATAACATGGCTGCAAATGACAGCCCAGTTGTACCTCGTCACTCTAGCTTGTTCTAGTGTGCTTAACATTGGCACTCAGTTCATTAGGGCCTATTGCACTTGGCTAATGCCACTTGCATCTTGGCAGCATGACAAAAACTGTGAATCAGATTATGAGAGCCATAACGTGGCCAAGAAACACTGAGGGCAAGTGGAGTTGTCACAAAGGACCGGCACCGACGCTCTGGATGTTAACGCCTCCGACATAATGTAATTGCATCCTGCCCTGGTTAATAAGGGTACTGGAATATTTGCATGGGAATACTGTTTATATGTACAACAGCTCATTTGAACGTGCAGCATGGCTGTAAACAAGGGAGTGTGCCTTGTAAAGCTTTTCCTGCAACAAGCCAGGGATTCAGATAGCCAGGAGGGTGTGTCAGAGCTCCGTTAAAAGCATCGTTGATTAAATTAGCTGAGACTTCATAAAGGAGCGGGAAATGAATAAAAGGAGAGGAACTGTAAAGGGCTTCATTTCATTTGTTTTACAGTGGGATTACCCTTTTTTACATGACAATGTTAATGAATTGTGAGGGTACCATATGTTGATGCTGGCGCATTCACCATATGTGGTGTCAGACAGCAAACCACGCAGGGGAAGTGTTCTGCACGGCATGGAGGCCTGCAAGGCAGCCGTGCTGCACACACATCATTACAATCAGGGATGAGTGCTACTGTTCTTTCTTTTTCTTCCCTAAGTTAATAGCCTGTGTGCAGATGCATATTAGCTCATTATTCATTTACATAACAACAATGGGGTCAGGATTCTCACAGGCTACTACAGAGAGCATCTTTGCACTGATTAATTTTACACTGAAGGAGGACACATTTCTGCTGTTTTCCACCAAGCTGGTAGCTGGAAACTAAACTCACACACACGCACAGAGTAAAAACACATTTAAATGCCTAACAACATTTGGAAAATAAGCCGATCTCGAAGGAATTTCCTATATTTTTGTTAGATTGGAACACATTGCTTAAACTAAAACAGGTTCATTTTCAGGTGAAAAATCATCTGAAGCATTTCTTGACAGAAGGTTGTCAGGAACTTGTGGAACATGTAAAATTATCATTTTACATGTGTGAATTAATAACATTTGTCTTTTCCTAGTTATCTACTCACTGCAGCATACTAACCAAGCTCAGTCAAGGAGACCTTATGATGACACACGGCTGCTAAAACACACAAGCGTTAACGGTCTGCTTGCTAATGAAATGCAAAAAAATAGAAACAAAAACCAAGACACAGTTTTTCATTGTTTTCAATGTAAACCTTTATTACTATTCTAATACAGATTTGCATACAAAGGCACATGTGGTGAGCACTTATACACAAGTTGCATAATACAAACATACATCTTAAAAAATGAGCTAATAAGCAGACAAAGCTAAACAGATAAATTATATTTGCATTTTAAAAAAGCAAGGATATTAAGTGATAGTGATTTAATTATTTCACACCAGAAATCATGGTTTTTATGCCTCTCAACTGATATCAGAAGAGAGACATTTTTTTGCAAAAGATTAAAAACATAATTTCAAGCTTATCCAGGCAGATAAGTAATTGTCTCGAGCACTGGGATGTGCATGATTATCAAAAGAATACATTTTCTAAATTAGGCCAAGACAGTCTCCCTTGAATCAAATGCAAGAGCAAAAGAGCAGTGCATAGATTGTTTAAAGTAATACTTTAAAAGATTTGCATAGATGATCAATCATAATGATAAAAAAATCCACTTCCCGAAAATTAATATAAAATGAATTAAGCTGCAATGGTACTTGTGTTATTGCACTGGGATCTGTGTGTGTGTGCGTGTGCATTTGTGTGTGAACAGGAAATTAAGGCAGTGTTTGAAGTCAATGTATTTGTCATGTCTAACCCAAAGACGTATCATTACAGCAGCGCAGGTAACTGCTATGAGGCAAACTAATGTGCCTCAGAGGAAACATACACACAGCAGCAATGTGCCACTTCCTCCTGATCAAACACACTACTGCCATCAGGAATATTATATATTTGATTCCACATTTATTCAAAAAGTATTTTTTTCCAGGCTTTAAAATAGAATTACCAGTAAAATATGATACACACCTCCTCTAATTCCAGTTTTTACACATCGAAATTAGAATTAATTCTGGATAAAGAACAATTTATATTGATAATGTATGAAGGAATGTCCATTAATTGTCAGCCCATTAAAAAAATCCAAAGCGTAGATAAAAAAGGCTCTGCCCAAAACAAAACCAAAACAGACAGAACAGTTGCATAGAGTATAAAGACGACAGCTCTCTCCTTCGCCATTGTGTCACCCGACACACGGAGCTGTCCAATCGCAGTGCAGTATTATTCACTGCTGTCGTGGGTCTCACATTCACATGTCTTTTGAGTCCTAGCAACTAAAATAGAACATCAAACTGAACATCAGCAAGGGCTGAAACTCAAACTGAAAACAACCTAGATATGGGAGAGCCTATATGTTAGTTATAGAATTACACTGCTTGTCTGTATGTTATGTACAGACATATGCAAAATGCAAAAAAAAAAAAAAAAATCAATGGTAGACTAAAAAAAAAATCTGCAGCATTATAGTGCTATGCATCATCTTTCTTAGCCCACAGGCTTCCACAGCCACAGTTCAAAATGATGTTTTTGTAGCTAAAGCACCAAAAGGTCTTCACAAAACATCCAGGTGGGCCAAAGTGTTCCACAGACATGGAAACAAGATCCATCAAGTCGCACACAGACAGCAGGATCCTTGTTTACAGCAGCTGAATGGTAGAAAGCCGTGAAAGAGGAGTCCTGTCGTCTCCTCATTGTGCGTTCTGTCCATTCTGGAACCCCGTGACCACCAACGTTTATCTGTGAAAGGGAAAAGTGACATTAAGATGAGGACAATCATGTGAATGTCAGAACAATTATTTGAGACAATGAAAAGTGAATTCCAATAAATTCCAGTTTAGGAGAATCAAAGGTTGGCTTGTCTTCTCTCTTAACAAGAACAAAAAGATCATTTATACAAGGTTATTTATTGTGTGACCTGAATCAGGCTGAGGTAAAAAAAAAAAACAGCTGAAGGGATTGAGGGTGAAGTTGAAAGGCCTTAGCAGGAGCCTGGTACGCTGCAAGCTGCTAATGCAAAGAGGAAGCATGTGACAATCCCTAAGCTAGGCTCTCTTGGACTTCAGAAAGCTATAGAACCCACAGTTTTTGTTTCATTTTTATACAGCTCAGACAAGCAACTTAAAATCTTACAGAGGGTGAGCAAGTTCAAAATAAAGAAACTAACATAGTTGCTCAGCTTATGTGCAGAGATCAACAATCACCGTGCTAATCAACATCACCTGAGCTATTAGCATGCGTCACATTAGCTGTGGCATTTTATACTGCAGTTCTGCTCTGAGCACAGCCATGGTGGAAGGGGAGATGAGGTGGGGAGGAGAGGCTGACAGTGGAGTCTGCTGGAATAAAAAGCAGTTTTGGGTATTGGTGTCACTTTGAGTTATTGGCATCATGGTCTTGCTTTGTTGAGAGAACTACAGTGAATAAGCTTGTTAATGGTAAATTTACAGCCCCAGCATGTTGCCTAATAAAATCAGGGGATAGAGAGGATGATGAGAATGATTGTCATTGCTATTCTGTGTGTGTTTTCAGGAGTGTTTATGCGAGGACGATGGGAAGTGGGGTGCAGCCAGAGAAAGAGGTGAGAAAAGTGGAAGGCGCCGGTAATTAAGAGTCTAAAAGAGTGTGAGAGAGGCACACACCCTTCAAAGCAAACTTTGCGCCTAGATTCCCCACTTTTTTCTCTATGAACCCCCCATCCCTCTTCACTCTCGCTTGCTCTTTACTTGTCTCTCCTCAGTGAATGAATAGCTACCACAGTGCCATGGTGTCCCATCTAGCAACACCCCCTTGCATCCTCTTGCCTTTTTCCACAGTCCCCCCTCCAGCATGACTCTGAATAGGGAGCCGAATTGAGCAAACAGTCGGGCTGTCAGCTCAATAGGAGGTCTGGCCATGAACTTGAAGTCCTTCCCAGGCCCCCAGCCTCACATTAGGATGGAAGGGGTGGTGGTGTTTGAGGAGACAAGAGGAAGGAGTGGATGGTGGTGATGGGGGGTTACAGCCAGACTTTTCGGGGGCCCCTACGTGCCAGTGTTGGGGAGACCCCTGACACAGAGTTTCCCAACGCTGGCGCTCTTGCTGGAGCAATGGGGGTTGGGTGCCCCAGCTGCCTGCAGAACCCTCCCCTCCTTCTATAGCACTCAGTCTGGGCAGGAGGGGTTGATGCTGGGGTTGATGCAGACAGAACACTGTCTGCACCCTGCCAAAGCTCTTCTAGACCCACTCTCTTTCACACGCACGCATGCACACACACGCACACATACATAGGAACAGAGATCCAGACACAAGCTGCTGGCTGTGCCCACCCCCTCTCCTCAATCAACTCACGGGCCTCCCAGGCTTCTCATCATCTCATTAGCCAACGCCAGCCACTCCACTGTCTACTGTTTGCATTGTTTTGGGCTCTGCATAATTTACACAGTAAATTGAGAACTGCCCCTGCCCCTTTTGCTCAATCTACCACCTGTTTATGGAGGCAGTGATTAGTGCACCCAGTTTGACACAGTTACCAAAGAACTTATCAGCCAAGCCAAGCAACACTTGAAGAAGCTGCCTTGTCAAAACGTTGAATGCAAAACGCTTGGAATGACCTAATTGGAGAAATGTTGATGTCTAATATTTAATCTGTTGACATTTAGAAAATTGTGGAACAAAAGTTTATAAAATGCAGAAGTGATATTTTTGACACACTTCAGTAAATTGATTCTTAAGGGTTTTTATAGAAATACTTTTTTCCTGGAGGCACCAGCAGCCCTTGCAATCCCATTAGTGATAAGATAATTGGATGGATGGATGGATGGATGGATGGATGGATGGATGGATGGATGGATGGATGGATGGATGGATGGATGGATGGATGGATGGATGGATGGATGGATGGATGGATGGATGGATGGATGGATGGATGGATGGATGGACGGACGGATGCTTTCCATCCATCTTTCATCTTCACCTGGATGTAGTGTAACCCTCTAGTGTTTTGGTTAAAGCTGTTTTCAAAGTTAGGAGCTTCCTAGTTGAAATAATGTAACAAGTTTGCTCATTGAAGACAATACATGACTTGTCTAAGTCCTAACAGGACTCAAATACTTTTTACTTGCTTTGAGTTTTTTCAGTATTCCACTCTGCCAAGAAAGCTTTCAGTTCTTACTCATCTCATCTTTGTTGTTTCATTCTTCTACATTTTCCCACTTTGTGTGAGTTTTGTTTTGCAGTACGCAGCCCTTTTATTTATATGTTGATATTCTTTTATGCATATCCACATCTTCTAAAAGTCTCTCCAATCTTCTGAATTCTGGCCTCACTTAAGGAGTTGGAGAATTGCTCCAAAGATTAGAAGTTGCAACAACAATCAAGAATATATCAAACATATATTCTTGATCTATATATCAAGAATATGAAATCCATTTGAGCAAACCTAGATTAGCAACCCTTACTGTTAGGCAACTAAAGCGCCCTACTGTAAGATGCTTTTATGCAGTTCTTGTAAATAGCACCTTCACAAACACCAAACTGCTCCACTGTATAAAGTCTATACTGTGCTTGCCTTGCACTTCCAAAATGGCAGCTTTTTTCTTGTCAGTGTATGCAAGACAGGATGGCATGGCAATCCCCAATCAGGGAAATAAAACCTGTCTCTTCAAGGACAGATGCCCACAACCTCCTGAGAGAAGAATTGAGAGCAGAGTGATATAGCGCACATACAAAACATACTCAGTGCGCATCTACTCACCCTCCCCACCCCCAAATCGGTGCTCTATGAGAATTGTTAACGAACAAATCAGTGAAAATTAAAACAGAGACTGTATTCTAGTGCCGAACGGGACCGAGGGTACTGGGTGACGGAGGAGGATTGAACGGAGTGTCAGGGTGATGACAGCAAAAAAAGCACAACAGCGGGCATGGTGGTCTTGGTCTGTTACCTGCAGTGACTGGTCTTTCCACTTCCATTTTATGCCAGCGTTGCTCTAAGATGGTGGAGTGGGCTGCATTTCGCTGTACAGGAAAAAGGGGCAGTCTGCTGAGGATGGTGTGGAGGAGAAAGAGAAGAGGAGGAGGTGGGAAGAGGCGATGCAGAAGAGGGCGATGAGAGAGGGAGGGCACAATCAACAGCAACCCCTCCTCCTCTTCTGTTTTCAGTCCTCTTTTGCTATCTTTTCTCTATGTGGTGAGGTACCCTGCACACAGAACAGGGACACGAGGTGTTACAGGTAAATGTTAACAATGTAGTTAAGCCATCAAAACAATTATGGACAGTTTTACAGAAGCATATGAACCAAGTTATGCATACACACTAATGCATGCGTCCGCACACACACACTTGCACACGCACACACACCTTTTCATGTCTGTTCTCATGGTACAGTCTGCCCCTGAGCATGCAAATGACTTTCATTATGCAAATGCATGCAAATCAGATCCAACCATCTGAGAATCAAGGGTGGGAAAGGAAAAAAAAAAACTCGACACAGAGACTGAATGAAAGAATGAAAGAGAAAAAGGGACAAGAGAAAAATCCATTCGAGTGGCAGGAGGCTGCGCAATAGGTAAACAATCTGTGGAAAACAACAGCCAGCGTGCTCAGTCTGTTTTATTTTGTCTATGATGGATTTTTGTTCAATTTTTACTCCAACATCATTCTGGAAAAAGTCTGTCTTTCATTGACACTACCTCACTTAACAAGCACAGATGGCTTTCTAGATTGTTGTCAACACACTGTCTTGACAATTGTAGTCAAGTACATGTGGAACTATTTCTGCATATTCAACAACTGCATAATTATACAGGTTTTCAGTTTATGCATACTATAGTTCAGCTAACCTGGATTTTATGTGTTTCTTGTAAATAACAGCTGTAGTTTTGGTAGCCTTCTTAGGGAACTCAAAGATTGCACTCTCAGTTTGAAAAGTCTGGTAGTAGCTTTTCTCATAATAAGATGCTCTGCTTCTATGTCTGTGTGGTTCAAAATAATAAGCATGAGAAGCTTAAAGCAAGCCATTAGCTTCGAAGCATTATTAGCACCATCACACACTAGTATATGTGGCTAACAGATGAAAGGACTTCATTCTTAATTGTTTTGAATCAGCATCTGTTTTGCCATAGACTTCTATAACCCACACCTGCACATGTAAGCTGGAGAATGTAAAATCCTGCTGGCATTATTAAGTCAGTTTTCTAAGTTCAACATTAACACACAGGTGGAGGTTGTATCTCAGAGGTTTAGCAGGAAAGTTTGTGAACCCTTTTTCAAGGTAATAAACAAAGAAAGCAGGGATTTTACTAATACTCTAAACCCAGAAGAAAAGGGATCTTCCTTCAGCCAGCAAAGGAGGGAGAATGCTTTTGTTTCTAGGTGTCAGAGGAGGAAGGCTACATCTGAAACTAGAATGAAGTGGTGAAACCAGAGGTGACTTGGAGTGTGAGAGAGTTGAGGTGGGTAAGCTGGGAGGGAGAGGACTACAGGGGTGGGGTACTGCTGAATGATGGCAAACCTCTCCTAATTGGCACTTGACATTTTTTGCCATTGGCACTGGAGTGGGCCAGCTTTCAAGCCCTCTCTGGGTCCTTGTTGGAAAAGTGCCTTATGCAAATATGGCGAATGGGCTCTATTGTGAAGCCGCTGATATTAACAGCTCACACAACAATGGAATTGTGTGCTTACTCTGGACACGTAGGTGTGTGTGAGAGAGCTAGACAATAGCAACCAGAGCAGCTTCAGTCTGAACAGACCCTCTGTCGGATGCTTTGCCAAGTCATTTCAGCAGAATGGGCTTTACAGAGGCTCTCAGTAAAAGCTTTATTAATGACTGAAACAAACAAATGCACGCAGTGTTTTCCTCTGGCTCTGAAAGTGTCTCGTTTTTGTAGTGTTACTGAATGGTTTGATTTATTTCCATTGAATGTGCTGAAAGTGTGGACAGGAAAGGACTAACTCCCGTTCCGAAAACAGCGAAACTGAAGCTTCACCAGCGCCATGCTACCCTCTCGTAGTTTGTTGTTCTCTATATACTTCCTTTGGGTCAGTACTGACACAACAAGAACACCTTTGGAGAAAACTCAGCAAATCATATAAATCATACAGCAAAAGCTAGATATACAGGCAAAGCAAAGCCTTACTCTGTGGATGGGTACCTCAACTACACATTATGCAATACTTTCTTACTCAAGAAGATTTGGATTATTAGTGCTATTTGAAAAGACAGTGAAAAGTTTCCTCTCTCTGTCTCACATCGGGGAGGCAAACAGAGCATCAAGTCAGACAACAGCAGCCACCCTCCGTGTGGTCTGAGCTCAGTCAAAGTACACCTGTTACTGCCAAGTTGCCAAACTTAATCTCCTTTGTCTGGAGAGGCCCATTGACTTTGCAACTGCCTTAGATACATTCATTTCTGTGTGAGCATAGAGGGGTGGAGGGACTGCCAATGTTGGAGAAAACAACAAGGTCTGGCTTTGCCCTCTGGCCCAACAGTGAAGCCATTTTCCAAGCCCTGTTGGTGTGTTCCATCAAGAGAAAGGGAGGAAGAGAAAAGGGGGCAAGAATCACTGGGTTGTATTCAGAAAACTGTCTGGCTGCTCAGACCAGGCAGGCCTGAAAGGAAGGAAAGGGGATGCATTGTCCTTTGGTGACAAGTGGACTAGCTCTATTGACTGTAAAGTCTAGTGGCGTGGGGGTGAGCGGGACTATATCACAATGGCTGTTTTTCTAGTTGACACTTAGAGTCAAAATCTGCTTGCCTAGTGCATGAAGGCTAAGCCAAACCCATTACCCACGTCCCTCTTTTTCCTCTCACTGCCTTTTTTCCGTCTTCATCATTTCTTTATGCTCCTTCTTTCTATATTAGACAATACCAAGGGACACAGAAAAAAGAGAGTGAAGGCCCTGATGTGTTTTCAGGAACTCTCCCTTTTCCACACCGTTTTCAGGGAAGCAGAAGCTAAAATAGTCTCTTCTCTGTGGTCCCAGTATGAAGTGTTAGTGATATAATTGTGCCACACACAAAGCAAAGAACAAAGCTTTTGCACCACGACATGTGTCTCCCAGGGCACTGCTTAGGGTATAACCACAATCTGTCAGAGTTTGGTCTCCATTTAGTCTAACACTGCAACTGACCCAAAAAGAGAGGCAAAGTAAAACGCTCTGTGATGTTAAAGAGTTAGTGGGGATAGCACCTGGTATGTGATTAATTAATGCAAAGTACTCCAGTTTAGATTTGACATCTGGAATAATATTTACAGTATGTGCAGATCAAAGCCATCTAATGCTCAAAAGTCTACAACATTTCTTAGATATGGTGGCTTCATAAGTACAACAAAGAAGAGAACAAGGCACAACCTTGATGTTCAACAATAGGACATCTTTGGCTGTCACTTTCTCTCAAGAACATTATTCCTCTACAGAAGCAGTTGAGCAGAGAGCTCAAATGTCACACTCAGTACCTGCAATGCAGCACAATGGCAAACGCAACGCTGGGACTTTAGTTGACTGACGTTGAAAGGTAAGGTTTGGCTGTAAGCTTTCAGGTATTTCACTTCAGTTGTGCAGAACTGTCTAAAATTTATACCATATCAAGCTGAACATGTCCAAACCCAACGGGATCTTTCAGCTAAAACTTGTTGTAACAGCAAACCACCAAGTTAAATATGTATTATACTTTGAGTTCACTTAGAAAGCTGGCACAGAGACCTAGGGAATGGTTCTCAGCAGCCTCTTTTCAGCAGGGATGATCCTTTGACTTTAATGGGCAGAACAGAAATCACACCTTCAATCAGCCATCAGTAGCCTTGAAGTTGAAGATCTGATTGACCAATTACTCCTCACCATGAGCTCCACTCCTCACCATGAGCTCCACCGCAGAACCTTAAGGCTGAGATTGTTCTCCTTCACTCACTCGTGGATTTCGTCACTGGGGGTTCTTTCTGCTTGATTGCCCCTGGACCACTCCCCTTGTGAGTCTTACACGCACACACATCAGCATCCTATCAAGCTTTTCCACATGGTAGCACCTCGTGGAATACAGGCACATTCAAAACTGTGCCAACTGTCACGTCAAATCAAGCAACAGTCAGGACCTTAAATGAAACATCGTTTCAAGCAAAACATTGAAAAGGTGAAAAGGAGAAAGAAATCAACATTTGATAACTTAACAAAACGGGCCTCAAATAAATTTGGGTCTTTGCGCTGAGGTTCCTGCAGGACATTAAGATAGCAGATTACCTCTGAAGTAGCATTCTTAAGTCACACAATCACATCCATGCTGGAGAATATCTATAATTTATAGCACCATATGCAGTTCCAATGATATTAAAGGGTCACATTTTTTCCACATTGCATGGTCACTTCATGCCAAAAGTGAAAAGAGTCACACTTAAATGAATGGACACAAATGAACACACTATTTACCAAATTAACAAACAAACTCAATCACAGTGTAGAGTTTTTAAAAGACTTGTTGGAGTCTGCTGGCTTTGGTAAATCTATTAGGGTCTTTTTCTCCAAGCCATGTGATACCAAGGCTAAGCCTTTGCATACAGCCCTGCACACAAGGATCATGGGGCTTATTAGATTAATAGTGATTCTGTTGACCAACCTTACTTCTATGGGTCACTGCCACAAGCTGCAGTAAAATAAATAAATATACAGTGCAATATCACACTTATTACAACTTACTAGAGAAACAGCTCCTGAAAATGTGAAAATGGGTTAATTTGCAGACAAAAGTTTGTAGTTGCTTTAAATATGAGAGAGTAAATGGGGAAGTCCTTGGTTCTTACCTTTATTTGATGAACGATCCATTCTCCTTTAAAATGCAGTCCATTTTTTTCAAGTTAAACTTCTTCTTGTGTATTTTAAACATTTTTGATGAAAAGAGTCACTTTGGGTCTTGATGCCTTTCCAGGAGTGTAATGGGATTCTTGTTACTTTCGGTTATCTAGCTTTATGAAGAATGTACATCACTCATACAGCTAGATAACCAAAGATAACAATCAACCCCTAAGGCTACCCATCCTCTTAAACCCCAGGCCAAGAAACATGGGCCAATATCTCACCTAAAGACAGATAAGAAAAATGTTAACAAACATATGTATGGGTTTTAAAATGTTATTATTTCACTAATAACAAACTGAGTAAAAATCTATGCCATGTAACATATTCTAAGTAATACAAATAAAACAACCGTTAACTCCATGGAACAAAAATGTCAGTCTTCTGGCTTGAGCTCTTCTAATTATCCTTCAGCTCTCAGCGTCCTTTAAATGTTCTGACCTCTCATTTTATGATGTCACCAGGTTGTCTGTATCCCGCCTAAAATCCGCTCAACCAACTGGAAACCTCCCTTTGTCCACTAAACCCGTTGATTGGCTTGGGGTATATCAAAAACCCTTCATGTCAAACAATCAGCAAGGTGCACCAATTAAAAAACAATTGCACCAGTTGTCGAACCAGTTCATTCTGGCAATGACTCCAGTCTTCCTTTCTCCAGTCTGGCGCCCATCCCTATGGTCAATCTGCAATGCCCACTGAGTGGCTCTATGGGAGTGTGATGACTTCAAACAGCACCCCCCACAATGACTGAAATACATTTTTAAATTAAAAGAAGATCCTGGCTATTTGACTACAAAAGAAACTGGTTTGTCTTCATTTACATTATCTGATGCCAAAGCAGTTGGCCGACACTCGAGGGTGGTGCTTACGGGAGGACATTAAGGTTTAAGGTCCATGGGATTTCTATTCAGTGTGTAAATAATACAAATTTTTATGCAAAAAGAAAGGAAAATCTAAACAGACATAAACACAAAAAAAAGCATCCCCACATAAAGACAAAGCTGCACAACATACAGGCACACATTCATTTTCACACATGCTGTGATGGCACATGGCACGAGGCCCCATCTAATTAAAGCTGCTCTGTGTGCCCAGATCTCTGTTGTTGCAGGCTCCTCCCCACAAAGCACCAGCTCCAACTGAAGCTCTATGATTAGTGGTGAAGAAAGAGACGGACTGATGGAAGAGAGAAGAGTATAAGGCACAAATTATTCTTCCCAACAATTAGAACAACCCTGAAGATTTTTGACCCAACTGTCAATATGCAGAAATGATCTAGACTTAAATGCCTGTTCACAAACGATCGATTTTCCAGAAATTCTTCGTTCCCCAGGTTATATTAAACAAGTTCTGTTCTGCTGCATTCTGACAGCATGTGGCCTTTTTAAAAATGGATTTTTATGCCATTTGGTGGAGCATATTTTTAAGGTGATTTATGTCCACGCACAAGGACAAAACAAGACCTTTGTACGAGCAAAATAATATCCCGAGTCACTGAATGCAGCTTGACTGACAGACAGACGCACACACCACAGATACACACCCAGACACATGCACACATACGAGCACACATGATGAGGATACTCACATGTTTAACATAATTACTCTTAAAATGAATTCAGTAAATGCACTCGTACGCCACACACAAACGTACACGCACACACACACTCCTGCAAGAAAACTCTAATTTTGAGTTTAAAATTAGAATGAAGTCCAATTAAATCTAAAAATATTATATTGTTGAAAACAATATTGCATAGAATTTAAAAGCTTCTTTTAGATTGATTCCAATCCTTTTAATATCATGATTATTTCAACATTTGAATTATTAATAAAAAAATTATTTTTATATTTGGGTTTATTTATTTAAAAACATAGTTAAAGGCTGTGCAAAAATTTTTAGAATTTTTTTGGGGTTAATCTTGCTTTAAATATGTATATACTTATACCAAGCTGAATAACACTTTATGTTTAGGATTTTTCTGATAATATTTTTTTTAAATAGTAAATGCAACCTTCAACAGAAATTTGACAAGTTTGGGTTGTTTATTCAAAGGTCTTGTTATGCAACCCTTAAAAATTCATATTAAATTATTTTATTATTTATTTACTGAATGAAGATTCAAAGCACCAATGGAAGTGAGGATTCCTGCATTTAAACAAACCTAATCAGGCAGTGCCATTGGCCAATACGTGTATGACGTCAGTAATTTCGGCACCTCTAATTGGGGAAAAATGCAAATAGTGCAGAGCTGATTAGCGGGAAATGAGTTCCTATTATGAAGCCTCACTGGTTCCCAACTGGTTAAAGCCACATGATTTATTCTGAATCAATTTAAAGTTCAATTCTCAGTGAATGCTGCAATTACAGTGGAAATTTTACGCTCATAGTAAATAATTTTATGCACATTATTAATCATTATTTAAATACAAATACAAGAATTAGTGTGAGAGTAGACGCTGAGATAAGAAAAATCTGTTGGCACACATTTTTGTTTTCTCTGTGCAGCTACAGGAGTGTGTGATACTCCCACCGTGTGTCTCAAAGACAAGAGGTGATGATTCATTATCTAGAAAATATATTTTGAGGGAAAAAAAATTAAATAATAATTATTATTATTTTTTGCATTACTAGGCAACATTTTCATATTTTTTGCTAAAGTAACAGCACGTATTTTTGCCTCTAAAACGTATGTTAATACATGTAAAACTACAGCATGAGAACAAACGTACTAATATGTCATTTCTAAAACTGTACATTTCATTGTGGGTTTTTTCCTTCTTCATCTTTTTTTTCTCGTAACTAATTGAAGCAGATTTCAGAGAACATTCCACCTTGCAGCAGGAGCAGGTGGGTAAATGCATCTGCTCCCGATCATCTGAAATGTGACTCATGTAAAGATGAAGAATGACCTTTGACGAAAACATTTCGCTTTTGAAACAAACAAATGTTTTTACTGCAGACTTCATCCTATAGAGCGGTCGATGTGAAGATCTTTAACAAACGGGGCCTCAGAAAAGACTTGAGCTGTTGGTTTATTAGCGCAGCTCATTAATGCTGCTGTTGTGGGTTTTTTCTATGTAACACACAGTGGGCGGTGCAACATCACTTCTAATGTCCGCGGCCGCACGCACGATCATTCATTTCTGTACGTGTGGTTATTGGGATTTCTGTTTTGCTATGTACGAAATGGTTTTATAAAATTCTTTTCTTAATTATTAAATTCAACTAGACATTAGATTCGATATACTTATGAAACGAAGCATTCTGATTCCAGTCTGTTTGATTGCACATCGATTCTCATGTTTGTCTCGCAAAACGTTTCATTAATATTCTTATAATTATTATCAAGTTTTTTGAGACCTAAGGCGCACACGTGTCCATGGCACAGGCCTGTCCACGGAGCACACGTGTCCACTGGATATGTGGCCTTGTGAGCTCTTTATCCACCAACTATGGGGACGTGAACGCCGCCACTTTGTCTTATTACGCATGCACTGCAGGTCTGTCTGCTGATAAATCCTCACATCTGTGCCACATGGGCGCGCAGGGTCCGTGCAGGGCTCAGTGTGAAAAAAGGCACCATATTGTTTACCGGTTTTGTCCAGATTTAAAAAGTCTGCCTCGAATATGGGGCTTTGGTTACTTGCACATGCAGCTTTTGCTGAAGGAGTGACCCATTTGGAGATGTTATAGATGAAATCCAGGCTGAAGTGCATGTTGACGCAGATAAAGCGTCTCTGAAATAAGACTGTGGAAAAAAAAGTTTTATTTCAAATTGGATAGTACTTCAATAGTACTTCCAATTAGAAGTTATAATACCGTTCTGTCCAACATCCTAACTCAGAGGAAGTTTTAGTGTTTTACTGTGACATCTCAGTAAAACACTAAACACAAATTGTGCCATATTCAATTTGCAATTTAAAATTGCTTGTATGAATCGTTTGAAATATCGCCCTATATCTTTTCAGACTGAATATAGAGCATCACATGGACAAACCAATATGTTGCCAACTTGCAGCAGCTTACATCACTTCTTAAATTGCATCCATCAGCCCATCACCATGAAGCTAACAAAGACATAGAGACAAACTGATGCATTTAAATCCGGTGGTCTGCGCTTGTATTCGCCTGATGTTACATCCGGTCTAAAGACGCATGCTGCTCCGTTATGTGTGCAGCCTGGCGATGTACGCGGCGATGATGCAAACCCGCTCTCCTCCATCATTTTTAACGGATATCCTGCAGAGCTTTCCACCTTGACGAAATCAGAGCTGATATTTCATACTCACGCCGCTGAACGCGAGCCGCTGCGGGGTCTGCTCCTCTCCCAAACCGAGCAGCGAGCGTCTCGGAGGATGGAGGCGAAGTGATTCGCCGGAGGTTGGACCGCACGGTCTTCATGGCTGCGGCTGCCAGTGACGTGTCTCCAGCTTCATCCATTCAGCTTCTCTCCAGCGGGTTTTCCCCCTGTTTTATTATCGCCCCCATTATTTCATGTCGGAGGTGGATCTCGCCTTAACCCTCCCTCCTTCCCCTCCTCTCCCTCCCTCTCTCTGCCCGCGCCGCTCCGCGCAAATCGCCATTCCTCAGTTCGTCAGATGCGTTATGAACTTAAAAGATTCAGGCTCTAAAAACATATAGCGCCACAGACAGAAGGCCCTCCCCTTTATGACACGATACAGGTCTGTTTTTTTTTCTTCCTTGTCTCCACCCTCTGAAAAAATGAATACAAGCATGAATAAGCATCTCAAGTTATCAGAATCCCTGAGACTAATAGTCAAATTAAACTTACATTCGTCATGTTGCCATGTTTTGGAATAAACCAAGATTATTGCGGCATATTACAGTATAAAGATTAAATCATTTCTCTAAATATGCACAATATAAGCACTAGAATCCTAATTAATTCCCTAATTACGCACAAAGCCGTTCAGTTTAGCACATCTCTGCCGTCTTATTGTGAGCCTATTTGGGACTTTCTCGCAGCCCATCAAGTGTGTGATTTAGAGCCCGTTTTGGACCAAGTGGGATTATAAAAAAGTTTCGTGTAATCTTGTGTGGCTACCAGTATTCGTTTGACACAAAGCCCCCAGCAGAGTCTGTGGCCTGCGGCTTCCTGCGCCTGGATAAGTGCGCACATCCACCGTCCTCATTGTCCGCGTCTTTAATACGTAGGAGTCCAGGAATGTGACCAAGGGGGTGAAGACCGTGCAAATCAGCTTTTACTGTCACCGCCGGGCCCCGGGTCCGCAGACAAGAGCCAAGAAAGGGGGTCTGGGTCACTTGATTATCATAATAATCAGATCGCGGGGATAAAAATCTCCTTTGAATAAATTACTGCTTCAATAGGAGGCGCGACTGCCAAAGAGACAACTTTGTCAGCCCCTCGGTTTGTTGTCGGGGGTCTCTCTCGCTCTCTCTCCGCTTTTCTTTCTCTCCAAATTTTGAACGCTTTCCTGGAGATCAAACTCTAAATACGGCTACTGTTTCTGCGTTCCCCTCCTCTCGCCCCTCGCCGATGCCTGGTTACCGAGCCTGAGCAGCCAGGCAGGTTCTGAGCTCCCCTTGGGAAAGCGGGGTAGCGCTGGCTAATGGGCTAAGGAGCGGGCACAATAGGCTGTACACCAACCATGCGACCCCCTCCTCACCCCTCATCACTTCTCCTCCCGTCATCAACCCCTCTCTCTTCTATCCACGGGCTGCATGGGAACCCGGGCACCGAGGTGCACCAGGGGCCGCTCCCCATTGTGGTGGCACATCCCAAGTTCATTAGCACCCATCAGGCCATTCCTGCAGGGCATGGCGGCAAGCCCCCCCTGCACCAAGACCACCACCCTCTCTTCCATGCTGTTAACCCTGGAAAGGCCCGTGTTCCTGATGCAGTTCTTATGTGTTTCTAGATTGAACATTTCTCGTATTTTAACTGAATTACTCTGCAGGATTAAAAGCTTTATGCTGCCTCCCCCAAACTCCCCAGGCCCCCAGCCGGGCGGGGGACACTCCCAGAATATACAGATATCAAGACTTTACACTTGAAGATACATTTGTTAAGATCTCTTAAATGTACTTCCAACGTTTATGAGTGGAGCATAAACAAAGTAAAATAAGAAAGGCATTCTAAAGAATTAATGAATGCTGTTACTGCTAGACAATTTTACAGAGGAAGAACAGTATTCAGAAATACTTTATTTCTGCTGGTCTAGTCATGTTTTTTTGTTTTTTCTTTTGTCTAACCTGGAATCCCATGTCATGCATAACTTAAATCTAATCAATAAAGAATTCACAAGCAGCTCCTCTTTATAACCCCACATTGAAATGCTATTGAAACAACTGCCAGACAGAATCAGTAACTTTTTATCCACTATTTATTTACTGCTGTTTAATTAATAACCAATTTAAACTGTAGTTGGGGTCCCAAAACCATTTCTCCTCAGGGCCCCATACAATGTCTGACTTCCTCTGTTTGACATTAATATACACTCTTTATCGGCAGCAGTGCATTAAATATAAATATTGCTAATGCATTGTCATGTTAACAGAAGTCATTTTTGAAGTTTAACAGATTTACTCAGTTACTAAAATTCTGTTAGTTCTGTTAGTAAAGACCCCGTTTTGCTTTCTAAAGGGAAGTGTTGGTTTTTCAGACAACTTTTCTTATCTGTTGGATCACTGGTG